TTCAAATTCCCGTTATAATTCCCGGAAATTTTGTTATTTTAATATTTAGGTATACGTAACATATGCGAATTTTTCGCCTCCCAACCAAATGGAATATAATTCTTTTTAAAAGTAAGGGCATGCAAACGTTGCTATGCCTATTCAAAGTAAACAATTTTTTATTGTTGTTCTGATTTCCTGCGTGTGCGTGTGCGTGTGCATGTGCGTGAATGTGCGTGTGTGAGTGAGCGTGTGTGTGAGCGCGTGTGTTGTGTTTGCGTTTGCAGATGCTTTGGATGAAAATAACTTGGTAGAGCCCCAGTTTGAGTTGAGAAGCGATGCGTTATTTATTTGTATAGTTGGACCAATGGGCAGCCAACGTGCTCGATGGAAATGGACCTGAAACCTGCTGGCATATATGTCATACGTGTACATACGTCAGAGTTACGGTTATTGTTAGCTGTTTGTGGGGTGAGCGTGTGCCTGTGTCTGTGTGTGTGTGTGTGTGTGTGTGTGTGTGTGTGTGTGTGTGTGTGTGTGTGTTAGGGGGTTTAGTTTCGGGCAATTGGCATTGAATCTGATTGGGGGAGTTGGCCGCGAACTTACCAGCACTGGGCGCTCGTTGGCATAGGAAAGCTTGCGGGTCTGACGCAGCGTCTCCAGCCAGAGGGAGGTGCGGCGTGACGCATTTGCGGCGCCACCAGCAAGGCCACCGCCACCGCCACCACCGCCGCCACCGCCGCCAACGCTGGCGGTGCGCGTCATCATAACTGGCGGCAGCTGCGCTGACGTTGGCATTGCAATGTTCACGGCTGGGCACGTGCCTGGGAGCGTGTCCACGGCAACGGCAGCTGGCTGCACCGGTCCAGGACACGGGCACTTCTTGTAGAGGCTGCCCTTGCATTGGTTCTCCATGCAAGAGGCAGGCGACATGCCACACGGCACACGGCACAATGCGCAGCAACTGTCAACTCGATTAACAATAACAAAAATACAAAAAAAAATATATGTATATGTATGTATGTATGTATATATTGGTTTGCTTCGATGATATTTTCCGCTTTCAGTGGCAATTTTCGCTAACACTTTTCATTTTCACTTAATTGCTTGTGGCAAATAATGCATTTTGTTTGTTTCCTATTTTTATATATCAATACGGTTTCGGTTTGGATTTTTCCTCGAACCGTTTCCACACAGTTTGAATGTTGATTTGTTTTTGATTTGCCCGAACGAATCGGCTGTTGATTTTCGTAAATTTTCAATTCGATTTTGCCGACATTCGGCTGCGTAATTGTCCAAAATGTAAACAAAACACGACCAAAACAACAGCAACAACAGCAACAACAACAACAACAACAACAACAACAACAACAACGGCCTTTCAATTTGACTCAAATACGTTTCTTTGACTTTCTGGCCATCTGTGTGGCTGGCTACGACCTGTGCCCGTCGGTCGCGCTCAATGCTCTTGCCCAGCCGAAAATTGTTTTATTTATAATTATTTTCTTATTTTTCTCATTTGTGTTGTTGTTTTTTTTTTTTCGTGTGTGCTTTCCAATTTTCCGTCTAATTTTGCCGCAAAAGAAACGTTTTTGTCAGCACGCGTCGCGGATCGCGATTGTGGATTAGCCCATTCCCGATAACCGATAACCGATTACCGATTGCCGCCGATTGCTGATTTGCTGGCAATTGACTGGAAACAGCTGCCGTCGCGGCCGCTGAGAGAGACATCCGCATTGACCGCTAAACCGCCCCCCCCCCCCCCCTCCCCCCCTATTAGCCTTTCTGCGTTCAGTTGGAAAATGGATAGAAACAGGGCAGTTTGCAGTCGAATAGAACCGACTGCGTAATGCCCGTTCACAATCAATGGAAAATAGAAATCTATCTAGACTACACAGTTCGAATGAGAAATCAAAAAGTTGGTCTACAACTTTTACACTCATTTTCCACAGTATCAGGTGGAATTTCCCAGATGTTGAAATTATACTTTTACACTCATTTGCCACAATTTCAGGTGGAATTTCCATGAAACATGTACTAGGTCTTTAGCTTACAAATAAGTTAAATATATTTAATAAATCGACTTTTTCGATATATATATATTTTAAGAATTGATCTGAAAAAGCGGAGTTCAGTCTGACATTTAAACTTTGAAAAACTAGAGATTTTGACCAGAGTATAAATGTCAGCTTTGCAACTCTTTTCGCTTGACGTCAATCAGTCAATCAGTCGCTCAATCACACAATCAGGCAAAACATTGTTAAATATAAAGAAATACCTATTTTAATGACATCTATTTTTGTAATTGATCTGAAGAAGAGTTGATCAGTCTAACTTGAAGACTTTGAAGACCGCCCTCAGTAGGCATGGCATTTAAATTGTAGAAAACCTATATACTCTTTTCACATTACGAACGGGTAGTACAATCGATTGCGTACGTCATGAAACGCTCTCGCCGGCTCTCGGCTACTGTCCCGCCGACAATCTTCCCCCAACTTTACAGCCTTCGCAGACTGTCAACCATGTGATGCTCTCTTTTTAGCAATGGGTCTGACTGGCAGTGGACCCGGGCCAAAATCTTAATGGCCGTTTGTCTGCTGACAGGTTTTTATGAACTTGAAGATGCCCTGTGCCGATGCAGCCATGACTCACAGCATTTACCCCTTTGCCCGCCCTGACCGCTCGACCAAGCACTACAAAAAAAAAAAAAAAAAAAAAAAAACCTTGTTTCACATGGCATTATTCCCAATAAAAATTACGAGTACCTCTGTACATTCAGCAAAAAAAAAAAAGCAGAAAAGACAACAAAAAAAATGCTTATTCAACAATTATTGGCGAGCGGCCAAAATTTGTTTTACAAAGCGCTTTTAGCCAAATTTTAGGGCTATAAATTCCAGAAATTTAGAAATTGCTATTTTTCTTTTCTTTTTTGTATATTAAGAAACACACAACTTAATTTGACCGCAAACATTAATTGTGGAAAGTTTACGACAAAACTGAAAAATGTCAGCTTGAATAAGACCCAAAACTTGTGTCCAAGCCAATTTTAAGCACTTTTAATGGCCCAAACTAAGTACTAAGTAAAAAAAAAAAGGCAAACAACAACAAGAAAATACCTAAAAGTTTCGAATACAACATTTTGAGTATTTAGTTTGGGTTTTCAAATGTAATACAAACAATTTATGTGCTGCAATTGCAACAGTTGCTGGGAACAAAATGTACAATATGTTTCACCTTGCCTTGAGTTTAGATACATTGATACATTGATGATTCATACGAAATGTCCTAGATTGTATTTTGGGTCTCCTTTACGCAGTAGATCCCCATATGGAGAACATCAATAATATGGTAGCTATAAACGGTAGGTCGCTGGTTCAAATTGAATGCAGTATTTCCCCATATATAAGAAATTGTTCCGACTGACAGACTGGTCAACAAACAGGGCTACATTTGTACTGAATCTTCCTTTATGCAGAACATTAATAATAGTGCAGCTTTAAGCGACAGGTCGCTGGTTCAAATTTAACGCAGTCTATCCCTACGCATATAAAAGTTTGTCCCGACTGACAGACAGGCTGGACAACATGCGGCCACCAAAGTGTACTCAAGCTTCCTTTATGAAGAACTACAATAATAAACGCAGCTATAAAAGTGCTGAACAACAGCAGGTCAATGGTTCAAATTGCACACATTATATCCCCATGTATATAAGTGTTTGTCTCGACTTACTAACGGCGCCATGCTGGGCTCAATTTGTACTCAGGCTTTCTTCATGGAGAACATCAATCAAAACGGAGCTATAAACGTGCTAACACACAGCAGGGTGCTGGTTCAAATTCAGCACATTATATCCCCATGTATATAAGTATATATTTGTCCCTAAATCGTAACTTTGATTTGATTACAAACATTGTTCAAAGTTTTTGTGAAGAACATCAATGATAACGCAGCAATTTTCAATATGTATGTTTCTATAGTTATTTGTTATGTTATTTTTCACAGGGAAAATATTCGTAATAATTAATTAAAATTGTTTGAGCTAAGATAGAACAATTTTAGTAGGGAAATAAAAAAATACTAGTTCAGTTGGCCAAAAACTGTGTTAACATTAGAAAAAAAGATTATTCAAGTTTTTAGATAATTCCCCAAGTTGCTTTAGTACAATATTAATTATTTTATACGACTGCAATAATCAAGTAATATTAAATATGTGTTACATATACATATTTTTTGCTAAAAACAATTGAGAACGTTTTTGTTCGGGCAATAAATTTGTGCATTGGGCAAAAAAAAAAACGTGTGCAGGGGCAACGGCAGGCAAAAAAGAACAAATCTACGCTTACCTTGAAGATCTCTCAAATAATTCTCGAACATTACTAATGCTGTCCGTATGTATATCTATATATATATATATATATATGTATATATAACTATTATCAGCTACAGGCTTAAAGCAATAACGAGCTAAACAGCATATGAATGCAAATTCCGTGAATGAATGTGAATGTGAACGAATGAATATAATCAGCATAATCAGAATCAGCTACAAGCGGCATTCAATGAAGCATTGCATTTAGGTTTTTTCAATTCAACGAGGCTGAAGCGAGCTGAGCCGTATGAGTACGAATATGAATACGAATATGAGTACGAATGTGAGTACGAATATGTGTACTCAAAACAAACGAAACAGCAACAGCAACAACAAAAAAACAATACATCCAATTTGCAAATGTATTCGCATTTTTGGTGCCACAAATGTAATCGCAATCAAATTTTAATTACAAAACTGTTTCAAATTTATTTTAATACTGTTTTGTGTATTTTTTGGTATTTTTGCTATAGTTGTTGGTATTTTGTATATACATACACAATACATATTAATTCAACGTCAAAATGCTTATCGAAGTTGGGTTTGTTTTTAATTGCCATAAGATTTCTTTAGTTTCTTGTGATTTTTTGTTATTTTGGAGGGGGGGGGGGGGGGAGGTGGGGTGAATTTGTTAGAATTTAGAATTAAATACCATTTTGGAGCATTGTAGCGTTTCGTTAGTGGCCTCTGTGAAGGCCCTTCTAAGTCGCAACTTTCGGCTTTCGGACAATGTGCGAGGCATTAGAAGAACGCCCTGAAGGAGGAATTATTGATGCGAATTGTGATTAGTACAGTTAGTTAATTAAATAGTTAGTTAATTTACATAGAAATGCGTATATATGGGTGAATGGGGCTAGTATACAAACATAATGCTAAGCATAACTCGAATTGGCATTTAAGTAAACTCCATAATATTACATTTAAATATATGTATGTATGTAGCTAGATATGTATATAATATGTTAGTTTATAAAGATACTCAAATGGTTAATTCCAAATAACTAAGACTTAGTTGAATACATTTAATAATATAAGTAGGGGTAGTATTGATTAAGGTTTGGTTAAGGTGGGCTGACAGAGGGGCTTACTTGATTGTTGGGTGTAAAACACCCTTGTGGAGGATATTATCATTTTGTCAAGGATTGTGTGATACATAGCAGGAGACATCACCAAATCCAGAAAGTATATATGTACATACATTCTAGATCTGCATCAACAGCCGATATGATATAGGCTTTCCGTCTGTCCGTCCGTCTGTCTGTTTCTATGCGAACTAGTCTCTCAGTTTTAGCTGAAAAAACTTTGCATAGCTCCATCTTTCTGTTACAGACAGTATATATGTCGGAACTAGCCGGATCGGACTACTATATCATATAGCTGCCATAAGATCGATCGGTAAAATGTACGTTCTTGTATGAACAACTTTTTTGTTTTTCAAGATATCTGGACCAAACAAAATTTTCTGCTTTGCATATATGTAGATATGTCTGTGTGTATGTATTTATGCCCAATTGTCCAAATATCGGCACATTCTAAACGAACCAAGGCTGTTAAATATACTTTTTTTATTACAGGCGGTATCGGATTACTCAAATATATAGATAGATAGGCTAATCGTGAAGGCAGACCGGACGCTGTGTAAAATACCTGGAATCGACTTCCAAAGAAGTTCGAAATTTATTGACTGCAGATAACATAAACAGAAAAGAATGGCTATTTACGACACGCCGAAGATTAAATTCCCTAGCAGATATATGGATATATGGAAAAAGCACAGAGAAACTCGTTGATGCCAAGCACGGGCAAAATATCGCAAAAAACTTAATCGATAAGCTTCACGTCTGTGTCCATAAGATATAGAAGTCTGTTACGGCTAATGTCAACATACATACATATGTATGTAGTCTCTCACGGTTCCTTTTATAGGATTAATCAGAGCACCTTTGGAACGTCAGTTCCGCGGGTACCAATTGAAGACACGACAGTTTGATTGTGTCTTCTACCTTGGTTTGGCAGGAGGTCGATCGTAAACCTCTTTCGATCTATGGATCACGGCACCCGGCAGTATAACGCATTTGGGTGTTAAACTACAACCTCCAAGAGACAGACAGACATGGCGATATCGACTCATTAACTGATACTGATCAAGAAGTTATATACTCAAGGGCATCCGCAATGTCTGCCTCTATGCGTTACATATATCATGACAAAGTCACAATACTCTCTAGAAGGGTATATACTGTTTATTATCTAATAAGATTTTGGTTAGATGAGTCTATGAAAAACAAACAAATTAATATGCGCGTAAGGGTATTAAGTCTTCGGCAACTGCTGTTAGGCTTAAGGCACGCCCAAAAGTAGGCAACGCCACAATGCAAATGACAAATAAAATTAGAAAAAAAAAAAAACACAATATAATAAATCAATAATGGATAAAAAAAATTAAATGCGCAGCGCCGGCAAATCAAAATGGCAAATTTGAAAATAATTACAAAATAATTAGCATGAGCCACAAAGTTAAATGCAAATGCATATCATTAACATATTAGCACAATGTGTGACCGTTTACAACTGACTAAATCCGTTAGCTTTTCCCACGCTAGCTGCCAAATTGAAATCTTTTAACAACAAAGCGCCAGCACGCACACGCCCGTGTGTGTGGTCGTGTGCGTGTGTGTGTGTCTGTATGTGTGCGAGTGCACAATGAATGAAAAGTTTGCTGGCGTGTTGCATAATTAAGTGCAAAAAGCTTTGAACAGATGAAACTACTAAATGTAAACTTGCAAGCGGTGCGCAAGCTTTTGCGCCAAAGCTTTTAACTCGCGGCCGCGCATAATGTCAAAGCTTTTTTTTTGTTTGCCGCGCGCACTCGCTTGCACGCACACACACACACACAAGCACACACGCAAACACATGCATAGTTAAGCATATAGTCAAGTATTTATGGCTTGGCAATACTTTAAATTGCATACAAAATTTATGCGGCCAGCCCGGGCGGCGGGCGGTCGGTTGCCTAAGTAGGACTTGAGCTGAAAGCTTGGAGCTTTTAAATATGAATATATGCATTAGTCGATACCAAATACAAATAGAAAGCAGCAAACTTTTTTCTTTTATTGGGTTAGGTTCAGGCAATTGATATGTATATGTAGCGCGAAAATTGACATTGCCATTGCCATAGGGCAAGCTATTATCATGCCCAAGACATCATTATTCTCAGAGGCCATTAGCTTTGGCAAGTTTTTCAATGTGACAAAGCTTTCTGTCACACACACAGGGTGAGAGAAATTGGTCATAAGCTGCTTTCCTGTTTAACAGCAATGCCGGACTTTGTGTGTGCCAAACTCCCCGCAAAGCGCCGACCGCACCCCTCCCGCGCGTTCTACCAACGGGACGAAGTGCCAATTAACTACAGCCGTTGCCGTTCTTGTTGTTGCCGCAGTGTCAACAAGGGTGAACAAAAAACCCAAAAAAAAAAAAGGAGGGGGGGGGAGGGGGGAGGGGGGCAAAAATAAACTAAATAAAAATACGAAAATAAAACCGAAAATGATAAAAACGCGACACCAAATGTCAAAGAGTGAAAACATTCATCAATCATTTTAAGGTCAGACACAGCCAGGCCGGCGTGAAGAAAGGCGCTCGAGATATATAAAATCTATTGAAAGTTCAGACATTGTCAAATTTATTGATATTAATTACAATGCCAATTATAATTCTATATTTAGTGCCGTTAACATTTCTTATTGGCCTCCGGCCAATGCTGGCTTAGAGTACACGGGTTACGGGCGGGGCGGGTTGGGTATCTTTTTAAACAGCACTGAAACAGCATTCATATTTAATGGCTGCGCTACGTGACAAGCAAGAGTCGGGTATAACCGACTTGAAGATACCCTAATACATATGCCAAGCTGCAGTGACAAACATTCACGCTTCTTTCTAGACATATGTACATACACAAAGGCACACACATACACACACACACAAGCATGCACTCAACTAGCTTATCAGTTATTGCTGCGACTGTGCTTCTTCTTCCCTAAGACACCACACTATAGAAAATACGCCTTAAGCATCTTCGGTGTTCTTTGTCCGATCCTAATGAAATTTACAGGGCATATTTATGGCATTAGAACTTGTGTGAAAACCAAAGTCCAAAGCTATATCTCAAAAATGTAGACTTGGTGGCAATGAGGCGATGTATCCACAATGTTAAATGTTTTGGATGTGTGTGCACTCTACTTGAACCTACATTCGAAATGTCTCATGTTTGGCTCTGCTAAACCCTGAGATATAGCTAAAAGAGCTTAGCTGAAAATCGATACTTATCGATTTCATTAAAACAGTGTAAGCTATCGATCATTTGAAATGAAATTGAGCTGCGCGGCCACTAAGCGCACCTATATTCCAAATTATGTGTCTCTAGCTCATATAGTCTTCGAGATCGATGGGTCCATACAGATACAAACGACCAGACAAATGAACCAAAAAATGAAATGTTCTAAATCTCGACAGATGCACTCCACGAGAACCTACATTCGAAATGTGATATGGCCAAGAAAGCTTATCTGAATATCGATACTTATCGATCACAATGAAACGATGTAAGTTATCGATCATTTGTAATAAAATTTAGGGGCAATAAACGCGTCTACATACCAAATTATAAGTCTCTAGCTCACATAATCTCGTATATCGAGGGGTTCATCGACATTATGCTACCCTGCCTACATTTGCACAAAACGAATATACCCATTTCAGGCATTTTTAATGGGTTCGGTATATAAAAGAAATATATGAATATAAATTGACAACTTGAACTAATTTCAAATTCAAGTGAAATATGAATAATCAATTGCGTTGCGGGACGCTTTTCAATTGAGTTTCGAGTTTTACCACTCGAATTTGATTTACAGTCTTCTCTAGTTGCCTGGCAAAGTAAATAAACCACTCAGCCACCCACGCAGCCCACACACAGATAGACACACACCCATCCACACACACACACACACACACACACACACACTCAGTCGGCCACTAAGTGAACTCATGCCCAAGTTGTTGCTGGCGTAAACAAAAATGTTTTAATTATGATCGACAAAAAAGAAAATGAAAACAGAAAATATTATAATTAATATTATTGAGCCAACGTGGCGTATGAGCAATATTGATTTTCACTAATTGGATTTCAGCGCGTGAAAATGTGAAGCACACGAAGGAACAAGCAACAACAAAAAATTATCTAAAGAAAATCTAAAATATAAATGAAAAGCAAAAACGATGAAAATGCCTGAATGCCTATTATAATACTTAAGTACTTAGTAGGCATGAAAATCAATTTGAACAAAACTTACACAATAATTTGTTGATGTTGTTTCTTTTGTTTTTATTTTTTTTGTTGGCTTACAAACTAAGACTAGTACTTAGGGGTTGGTAGATATAGCTACATATGTATATAGTATAGTAAGATTTTAAATAGATATCGAGGCACGTGCAAGATAAAAGCTACATAACCGTCCAATCGAGCACAATTGCGCTCGATGGCATATTTATCGATAACATCAATATGTGACTATTCAAAATTTTTGTTTATGATCAGCTTAGTTAGAAGTCGTCATAAACTTTCGCAAATAAATAAATATATTTATATAACACAAGTTCGCAAAAGTTTGCTTATCGATAGTTTTAGAAAGGTCGTGCCTATCGATAAATCATAGATTGTAAATATTTCATGTATCTTTTTCGTACAACTTATATCAACTATCGAAGCTCGTTATAGTTAAAATATATACACATATTCGTTTCGTTTTCAATACAACTTAAAAGCAATAAATCAGCTTGTTTTAGGGATGGTATGACTATCGATAGTTTTAATAAGATATAATTGAATGAATGTTATAGATAATTTAAGATATCCTGATTTTCTTACTAGGGAAAAGTTTAAAACGCAAAACTTGATCATCGATAACTATCGATAGCTTCGGTCAAAAACTATTTTAAGCCTAACCTGACAGGTATTTCAATCCTTTCTAAGAGTTAACCAAACGGAAACGAAATATATTTGCTCAAGCATAAGTCAGAGTATAAAGTCTGAATAGAAAACTAAATTGTCAGACCTTATAAAAAGCATGGTTGAGATTTATCTCGCTGATAAGCCAGTTGGATATATTAATGGAATTCTAACAAAAACGAAGATATTTTGTCATCAAGTCTTAATTTAAGTGTTGTATTATTTAAACTGGGATTAAAATGACGATATAGAGAACCAATCACACAAGCTTAACATTAAGGGTAGGCAATTATCTGGACCGTAAGCCGACTTGCAGAGCTAATTAGTCTTTGCCACTCTCAAGTGGCGATTGGCCGAGGTAAGAACAAGATGAACTATTAGTGAAGATTGAATTGATTAAAATTGATCAAAATTGACAGAGAGCTGCGTTTAACTGGACCTAATGAAGACTGACCCCTAGTTGGTTGCCTGCTTATTATTATCTTTATCAAGTACAATTAAAATTAATTGCATTTGTTATCGTTACGTGGCGATAAGTAACGACTATCGTTAGCTGCCCATCTCTATTTAGCTGGCTAATGTGAATAACCCAGGTAGACAGGTTTCTTAATCAGGCAATAAAAACAAAAACTTTGCCGGCTAAATGAATAAAATGGAAAAGTTGTCAATGCGCCAAGTTTTGTTTTTTGCTTTGCGAGCTGCCAACTTGTTGCAAAGTTGCGCCAGTGAAACAGTGTGACCAATCAATATCACAGAGCATTACATTTCAAACCGAAATCAATTAAAATTAATTGCTCCGTTGAAAGCAACGGTAATCAAGGCTGCTGTGTGATATATATATATTACTTTTTTTTTCTAGCTATTTATTTTGTAGTCTGTTCTGTTCTATTCTTTTTTTCCTTTTATTTTTTGATGGGGTGGGTTGGATTGAGGTTGAGGCAAACACATAACATCGAGTGCACGTTTACATACACGTAGTATGGGTTTCTATGTAGTACAGTGTACACCAAAGATACATAGAGATAGAGCGAGATAGAGCGAGATAGAGACAGTTTATCGAGGCTATGTACACACTTTGAGGTTAAGCTATTTCTAGGCACATTTAGTTGAGGTTATGTACACAGCCAAAATTCCCCTAGATCCCAATATCCCTTTGGGCCAGTTTACTGGCATTTGGTTTTTATTTTTGAAGGGGGGCTGGAGTTAGAAAATAAACAGATTGTCGCTTACCTGTTTGAATGGGCGCATGCCGCCATTGATCCTCAGGGAATCGGCGGCAATGCCCGCAATGCCATCTGTGGTGCTTTCCCGCAGCTGCTTGAGGGACACATTCGGTACCGTGTGGGAGTGGCCGCAGGAGCTGTGCGAGCCACAGCAAATGGCCGTGGTGCTCGATTCCGGCTGTGAGCTCTGCCTGATGATCCGCGAACCGTTTGTCGGCGATGATGTGATTAACACTGGCGGCACCTGTGTCTGTTGATAATGATGCAGCTGCAATTGTTGCTGATGCAGCTGAAATTGTTGCTGATGCAGCTGCTGGTGATGCGGATGCTGTTGCAGCAGCTGATGCTGCAGCTGCTGCTGCTGCTGCTGCTGCTGTTGGAGGGCTGAGTTTGATATGCATATGGCCATCGAGCTGGTCAGGTTACCCTGTTGGAAGGCACTTTTCACACTGTCCCGCGAGGCAGATCGATCAATCTGGCCGCCCGTCGAGATGGGCGTCGTCGATGCCCGTCGACTGCAATTGCGGCAGGCACGACAACGACTGGGCGCACTTGGCGGTATGCTGGATGATAGATTCTGATATGATGATGTGCCCAAATTGGGATGACTCGAGCCGGTGCCCGTTCCCGCACCCGTTCCCGCACCCGATCCCGCTCCCGTTGCAGTTCCGTCATGCGGTTTCAGGCTTAAATTCATAATTGATATGGTCGGTTTCTGTTCCTGTTGCTGCTTGGTCAGAGCACCGCCAGCCAAGCTGGCCGATGCCGATATTGTTGTTGTTGTTGATGTATTTTGTGTTAGTTCTTGGTCCTCTTCGTGTACTTCAATGTCAGGCACAATGGCGGCACGCAGCCCCTGCTCAATATCCTCATCGTTGTGCCCGATACCAATGCCGCCGCGCATACTCTCCTCGGAGCCCATGCGGATATGCTGCGACTGCTGCGGACTTGTCAGATATGTGGATGTCCGATCCTGACGCATCAGCGTCGGTTTGCCACCGGACGTGGAAGCCATATTGTTCGATGTTGGTCCATTTGCCGAGCTGCTCTTCACCTGCCGCAGCAATGCGGTTCGCCCGCCCTTCGTTGGGTTCGATACAAGCAGCGAGTCCGTCTCCTCGGAGCTAACATAGCCCGAGTTCGCGTTCTCGTTTAGCTTTTGAATTGACATCTGCAATGGGAAATGGGAAAATGGAAAAGCCTTTAGGACTACAGTTGCCATTTTACAGCTATCATCGTAAATTGCATTAAAACAATTCAATTGATTTTTCATTCAATTTCATTTATCCAATTTTAGATTTTCGTTTATTTTTTCTGTTTTTGTAAAAACGTTAAAGTGCTGCCATCATATTTTTAGCCATACAAATAAAACAAGTAAGAGACTCTAGTCGGGAGTTCCCGACTATGGGATACCCTGCACCCTCTTCTAACAACACCAAATGCAGCTCGTCAAATTTGGTCCCTCTAGCTCTTAAAGCCTAAGAGATTTGCTCAAAAATAAGAACTTCGATAACGATTCTTATCGATTGCTGGAAAACGGACCAAGTTATCGATTATCGGGAACAAACTCGTACTGCACGGGCCCTACTGTAGGACCTACGCTCAAAATTTCTCTCTAGCTCATATAGCTCTTCTGAGATCCTTGCGTTCATACATACGGATGGACGGACAGACAGACGGATCTGGCTAAATCGTGTCCGACTATTGATGCTGATCAAGAATATATATATATACTTTATGGGGTCGGAGATGCTTCCATCATCCTCTTAGCCAACTTGGCTCAAGCCTCATTTGCAGCCTTGTTGAATACAAAAGCTTATTTCCCGCACAATCAATATAGATCAATTTAAATGCTTTTTGATGTAGTAGTTGTGATTTGACGCTATTTTGCGGATATGTCTAGAGAATGATGAAGCTCATGATTTATTATTAAAGACGTTGTCATACTTATTCTTCGACCATATTCTGTATACATATAGTATTATACCAATCCGATATTGATTTTTTTAAGGAGCATGGCTAAACTTGGAGGCATGAATTTTGGTGAAAATCTCTTAAAGACAAAAACATATTTCAAACAAGAACTTGATATACTTATTTCCGATTGTTTCCATGGCAGCTATATGACTTGGATCTTGTTACAGATCAAAAATATTTATTTACTTTATGGGGAATTCCTTTATGTCTAGTATTTGACAGTAGAGACGGCATAGTTATCGATAACATCAATATTTGATTATCGACTATTTTTGTTAATGTTCAGCTAAGTTAGTTTATACCAGAAGTCTCTGGGATCGAAGAATAGTCCCTAGGTATCATGTATGTCATTCACAAATAGAGCAAGAGTTTTCTCAAGAGATCCAGATTATTTTAATCAGGCACGCAGTTAAAATTTACAACACTTTGGCTTCTTATCCCCCTGTCAACGAAATGTTAAGCTTGTGTAAAATCGTTTATCTAAAGTTAAATAATGACACAATTTTAGCTACGGTTCGCTACTGCATTTCCGTTTCCCAACCTCTTGTCAACCAAATGTTAAGCATATGATTAAACAGAGGTTGAAATTTACAAGAATTAAAACCGCCCTTCAGTTCTGTAACATCCTGTCAACCAAATGTAAAGCGTGTTATGAAACAGAGCTCAAATTTTACGATCATTTTCGTTTCTAACCGCCTGTCAACCTACTGTTAGGCATGTAATTAAACAGAGGTCAAATTTGACATCAGCTAAAAGTGCACTTCAGTTCATTAACCTGCTCTCAACCAAACGTTAAGGTAAACATACAATCAAAAACTGAAGTTGCATTTTACAAATGTTAAAACTGGTCTTCCGTTCCAAATGTTAAGATTTTAAACGGTACAATGTAAAATTGACGAGGATTTACAGCTAACTGTGGGACCAGATGTACCACATTTGCCAAAGCGTCAGCCGTGATTCAAATCTAACCTCTTGTCAATACGTAAGCTTAACGTGGGCAGAGATCAACTCTCTCATGCTATACAAAAGAGAAGTTTAACCTTCGCAAGAGAAGCTGACATAGACAAGAGCTTGCCGAGACCAAGTTCAGCGAGGCAAAAAGCTTTTGTCAACTAGAAGAAGAAGAAGAAGAAGAAAAAAAAAGAAGTAGTAAAAGATAACGACAAAAAGTTCATAGATACGAGCAATAAGCACGTGTACGAAAGCAATGCTATGCATATGTAAAAACAGGTGTGTGTGTGTGTGTGTGTGTTTGTGTGTGTTTGTGTGTGTTTGTGTGTGTGTGTGTGTGTACAAGCGTGTGTAACTGTGTGTTTGTTTGTTTGTATTTGCAATGCTAAGCCCGCTGAGGTGGAAAACTTGATGACCGCACACCTACGGGATGGCAAACATTGAAATGCAAACATGAACTCACGCACATGAGCTTAAGCTGTGTGTGTGTGTGTGTGTGTGCGTGTGCAAAGCATTTCTATATTTTATATGCAAAGCTATGGCGGGTTGGCTCGACTGGTTGGTCGCTTGGCTGCCTGGATGGGGGGTGTGTGTGTGTGTGTGTGTAAGTGTGTGTATGCTGTGGCTCGAAACGTGCCGATTGACAGGTGGGCGGGGTCGATGGGTGGTTGGGTGGTTTGATTAGGTTTGGTTGGTTTGGTTGGTTTGGTTCGCTTGGTCTGCGCGCACAGGTGGATGCCACGAAAAACTAATTTGGAAACAACTTTCAAAATCTAACAATGAAAATCAATAATTCAGCTATAAATACAAACGAGCATTGTAAATTATGCAAGAAAGTCGCCTCTCGCACCACAGAACACAACCTACTCAAATATGTTGGAATACCCCGCAGGCTAATGTTAGACAAATGCTATAGCTGGCATATGCAATGCTCTATATATGCCAGCCAATGCAATATTCGCTTAGCTATTCAACCATAAATCTTTTTTCCGGCCACTAAGCAACCCTTCTGACATATCTTATCAAATTCGAGACTATTTCATTTAGTTGTTGGGTTCTTTTATAATAAGGGCACCGTAATTTAAATTTATTTGTAGGTTTTTTTCTATCGATAAATATCAATTCCATTCCAAATTTCATCAATTTCCAATCGATAGTCACATTTTCTATTGATACTATTGTGAACATAATCGATACAACTATCGAAAGCAGGCATAATTTCTAATTGCAATGACATTATTATATATTTGTTTTATGATTTTATCGATTTTATCGATCATGTATTTCAACATGGCCCTGAAACATTTATCGATAGTCTTAACACCGTTATCGATTGTATTATTGATGCTTGTGGGCATCGATACTTGCCCAAGTGCACTCAATAACGAGATTGATACATCTATCAATATCGCTGTTACGAATAGGGTTATCGATGGCTTGTTTCATTGCTCCTATCGATAATAAAATCAATAAGACAAGAGATACCCCCATTAATATTGTGGGAGCTATCGATGGGGTAATCGATAATATTGATTGTGTTATGTTTACTGTTTAACCTGTTTTACTGATAGCGGCATTGCAGCTGTTTACCAGAGCTGTACATATATCGATCATGGCTATCGATAGTTCGACACGTCTAAAGTTAATACCGTTAGCTGTGTTATCGTTAGTGTTAGCTATTTGATATATCGATAGCTTTGCAGTGAGTATACGAGTTCGAGAACATGCTCCTGTCGAGCACTTTCGACTGAAGCCTTCTTATTTGCAATTGTTGTCATTATTGTTGCCTTGAGCAATTGTTTCATTTCGACACGGGACTCGCAGTAGCACAACAACGACAACGACAACAGTAACAATAACAATAACAGTAACACAATTACAATAACACTAACAGAGGACATGAGTCTTGGGACAAGAGCGACACGAAATGTAAAAAGTCGAAACACCTGCGCACCACCAAAAACCCACCAAACCAACATCCAGCCACATCGGGCAGCTATTCGCCCAGCCGCTATCCGTTGGCAATTCGAGCGTGCCGCTAATAATAGTCGATGCCCCAGTCCAGGTCCCAGAGACAGAGGCCCAAGCCCAGTCCCCAGTTGCCAGTCCATGGGCCAGACAATCCATTGCCAGCAATTGTGGCAACAAATTGGGTTAAATTTGTTCACCTTATACATACATATGCACATAAAACAATTTATTTACACCAAATACTAGAGAACTTTCTTGAATTCTTCAGTGATAAAAAAAGGATATTCTTTTTTGTATGACAACTTTTTTCTTTATATAAATTTGTCAAAAATATAATTGATTAATTTTTTTTTTTTTTTTAATTTTTTCTAAAATGTTGGGCACGATGTTTTTTTCGAGTGCATTCCTCTATCAGGCATTACAGTTCATTACAAGCCAACACTGGCTGCTACCAGTGTTGTAAATTGGCCACGTTGTGGCATAATGTGCACCTGCATATGGCGACAGCTACGTGAATTCAATTTTCCAAGCTTCAATTTAAAAAGAGCCATTAAAAATATTCGTTGATGGGGTCTGTTTTTCATATTGATTGCACTGTCGCGTAATTTATGACAGCCTGGTTCTGGGTCTGGGTCTGGGTCTGGGTCTGTGTGGCCCCTTACCCAGAAAGTAAAACAATATTATTATGGCATACATAGCACACACACACACACACACAGAGGTAAATGTCCGTAGATAATTCTCTGTAATTCGGTTGACGAAGCGACTTAAGTTTCAGAATTTTAAAATTGGCTCATTATCCATAACAACAAGCCGGGCGAACAGAGTTATTTGCATTTCATATTCAAATTACTAAGTGTTGGATAATAATTGAAGAATTATTATGACTGGCAGAATATTTTATAAGCAACTGTCTATTAGAAGACACCATTTGCGACGCAATAAAATTGTATATGCATATGCATATATTCTTGATCGGAACGAAACTAGGATCTTAGTTTTGAAGGTAAATATTAGATTTGAGCGAAGTATATATCGATATAGAAATAAGCGTTGCATGTATCGATATGTATCGATTCATAGCGAGCTGTATCGATGTTGGAATAGTAAGGACAACATCGATACTACGAGCTAGATATGGCCTTTGCCTTAGATTTATACAGACTTTTGTATACCAGATTAAGGCTGTGCCATATTTCGCGGGAAGCACATGAAGCCCGCCCCATGTGTGTGTATATGTATGTAAAGAAATTATGGCAAAGCATTTTTAGA